GCATAAGGACTATCTAATGGTCGATGTGTTTGTTTATGTCGTGATAAATTTGATGTTGTCGCATATGATTTACCACATTGATTACAAATTAATCTACCTGGTAGACCAATAGTTGATGTCTCAAAAAAAAAATGAAAAAATATTTGTTTACATTGATAATATTATCACAAAATAATTACATTGTAAATAAAAATTGCTTGAGAAATAAACAAATCAAAGTATGTAATTCGTTTTTGCAGTAAATAATTTCAAATGATTGTCTCAATTCAATGAAAGTAAAATTTTAGTAATTTCCGGTGTACAATGCAAGTTTTTTTTTTTTTTTTTTATAGTTTTAAACATTGTTTTGTAAAGTTTAATAATTTAAGAGTAAACCTCTTTATCAGTATTTAATTCTTTCCTACGTTTTGATCGTCCATCTGTTGATTGCAAAGCATCAAGTGTATATCTAGTTGTACCAGTTTCGCACATTTGAACATTTGAAGTGGAAAATTCCATCTAACAAAAAAAAAAAATTAACATAAGTAGAATCTACCTGAGATTAAAATGTTAATTAAAAAGTTTAAATATGAAGATTTTATTGAAATATTTGACTCACCTTGGGAAAATTACTTTCTGCTAATGTCATATTTATGGTAGTTTTGGATGAATTTGTTTTACCCAGTAAACTTTCTATTGAAAATGCATCAACTTTACAGTTTGTTGTCTAAAATATAAATGATTAATGAGAGTTTTATTAATTCTAACTATAACTTTTTTTAAAAAAAAAAATGTTTTAATTTTAAAGAAAATAAATATACTTTGTTGGATGTGTAAAATTAATAATTCATACAAATATATTTTTCTTTCCAGTATTTTCAATCAATAAAAAAAAGTAGAAATTACAATATAAATATAAATAGTAAAAAATATACTGATACCTGTTTTGATGAAATTAAATATATTTCATTTCTGATTTGAAAAATTTTAAATCTCTACTATCAAGAAATTAATAAATATGATGATTCTAAAACAAAATATTACTGAATATAGATAGATTACAATATTGCTATTTATTTTCAACTAATGTGTTTTAAATAATTTTCAGGTAATCATCTTTCATTTATTTACTCAATATGAAATTCATTACTTTTAATGCTTATTATTACTAAATTTTTTTTTTTTTGCAAAAACCAAAAAAAAAACAAAAACAAAAAAAGTTCAAAAAATTTATTTTTAAACTTAAAAATTAGGAATTAAAATATATTACCAGGACAGTACAGTTATTCATTTTGTTGACTTTTTCTGAGTTCGATAAATAAAGTTTGATAGTAATATTTTAAGAATTGAATTCAAAATGTGAGCTATTTGAATTATTCCATTTCATTTAAACGCTTATTGCTGTGACAGTGAAACATTAAACATAGTGGACAAATGCGACTATATCACTTAGACAGATCTATTTTGAATTGTTTAGCTTTAAATAAATTTCACTGAGTAAAATTTGTGACAATTAAATGAGAGGAAAGAAAAGAGCTTTCAGATGCAAATGGTGGCAGTTGGCAGTTTCAGTTCATTTCTTTAAAGGTAAATTTCCTTCCTTTTCTGGTATCATTTGGGGATATAATTGGTGTTGTATGCATCTGAATGGGGATAATCAAGCTTCATGAAAAGATCTCAATTATTTAAGTTTGAAAATTTTTAGAAATAATTCATATTGCTTATTTCATTTTTATTTCATTTCTTTTTTTTTTTTTTAAAGTTTCAACAATTTTTTTTTTCTTTTCCAAGAGGAATATAAAGGTAGCTTATAATAATATCTTAGTTTAAAATACAGTAGAGAAAGTGAGAATAATCATTTAATAGTAAAATAATGAAATCATTCTTATCAGTTCGTTATCACAGCCTTAAGGCTTTTTAACATCAAACTCTAAATGATTGCTATTGTTAAGACTATTTTAATTTTTATTTATTTCTTCTAAATGCTAATCGATTTGAACCAGCAATGGTTTCACTTAATTTTATCAGTGTAGTTGATAATAACATTCACTTTTTCTTATCAAAAACTAATATGCAAATGAATCAAAACATTTTAATTACTTTGTTAATTATTAATTTAAATACCTTTCTCTTTCTTGATGTACTCAGTTCAATACTTGAGGAAGAAGTACTAGGTAAACATAATGATTGATTGAGTATTTCTGTCCTATCAGGTCCATTCTTCAAATACATATTTAAATGTGGTGACAAATCTGAAAATGGTATTACGGTGAAAAAAAAAAAGAAAGAAATGTTAGTTTAATATTTTCAGTTGAAATAAAATTTTATTGTATCAACAATCAACAACTTTTTTGATTAAATTGTTTAATTCTTAATTCGAATTGTTTCGCAGTGTTTGTCTCTAAGGCAACAATTTAAAATTTAATTATAGTTCAAAAACTCCTCCTCTCTTCTCACCTACATATTTTCAACTATATAAATAAATAATAGATAAACAAGCAAACAATAAAACAAATCAATCAATGTAAAAAATTATGAACAATAATTAAATCAATAATAAACAAAAATTTTTTGATATTAATGGAAAATATAAGACAAAAAGTTGCAAATGACTATGAGAATGAAATAAAATGCAAAGTGAAATTGATCAAATTTTTGCTAATATTTTTGTTAGTTACATATTTTAATTCATTTCTATTCAATAATAAACAAACAAAATAAACAAAAATTTTAGTATGTAAAAGTTGATTATTTAGAATTATTATTTAATATATATAAATTAGAAACTTTTGTTTGTTGCATATTTTAATTCATTTTTATTGGCATAAAAGTTGATTATTTAGAATTATTATTTAATATATATAAATTAGAAACTTTTGTTTGTTGCATATTTTAATTCATTTTTATTAGCATAAAAATTGATTATTTAGAATTATTTAATATATATAAATTAGAAACTTTTGTTTGTTGCATATTTTAATTCATTTTTATTAGCATAAAAGTTGATTATTTAGAATTATTAATTTGAAGTATTAGAATTATTTAATATACATAAATTAGAATTATTTATTAATTTTTTCAAATATAACAATATATTGCTTATAAAATAAATTTTATAACTTACTGTATGTATCAGTGTTAATACATTTCGTTGTGACAGCATTTTTAGATAAATCCACCGATGGTTGTGTGAATATTGGTATTGCCAAATGCGATAGTAAAAATGGTGTAAATAATTTGAAATTAGATTCAATATTATTTGTAAAAATCATATTCGAAGAAGAGTGTGACAATTGATTCTGATATTGATGTTTTATGATTGAAGTTGAATGCAATGTTGGCGAGAAATATCGTTGCTCATCTAAGTGTGTAGCATTTGTTGTTGTTGTTGTTGATGATGGCCAATTCGACATTAAAAAATTCTGAAATTTTTTTTTTTTTTTTTTTGTTAAAATTTTTTTATTAGCAAAATTTTTTACATACAAGTAGTTAAGGAATATAGTTTAAAACTGAAATATCAAATTTCAGTACAAATTAGAAATAAGCAAAAAAAAAAAAAAAAAAAAAGAAAAATGTTGGAATATTTTTTGAAATTTTTATGTAAAAGAATTTTTTGTAACATTTATTTATAAAATATTGAAATATCTAAATTTAAATGCTTTTAAAAAAATTTTTTTTTTTCTTTTTTAATTACAACAAAATCAAATTTATAAGAAGCAAATTTTTTTTTTTTTTTTTTTGAAAGTAAGCTATCAAACTACTGTTGAACTAAAGTAAGTAAATAGTGACCATCATTATCTCATATCTGACCCTCTTCCTAAGCTTTTCATACAAATTTCTTCTTGAGAAAAGCATTTCTGGGATGGGTCAAAGAGCGGTGTCAATGATTATGTAAAATGGGCGTGTCAACATTATGGATTAAGCATCTTATTGGTTGACCTATCATTTCAAGCACAATTGCTTTTTCATTCTTTTTTAGATTCATGCATTTCTTGAGGAAAGGGAGGATGAAGAGAAAGCCGTAATGTTCCTTCAAAATGAGATATACACTATTGCAAGTGAGTACTTTTCGGCTTTAGCTTCAAATGAGACAAATAGTCTCTCAATCTGAGGCTATCATTAATTTCGTTTTAAATTTGCTTATTAAGCAAATTGCTGATTGTTTCATTAAATAAATATTTGTATTAAATTTGTTGCAAAAATTTTATATCTTAATTAAAAATAATAGATATGTTTTGGTGAATTAAAATTTAAATCTTTTTTACAAAAGATTTTTATTGTTATAATTTATGGTTAGCTGAATTAGAAATAATGAAATGATTGAAATTTTGATTTTAAATCATTCAAGTTAAACATGCTTAAAGGATTGCCAAAACGAATATCAAACAGATGGATTTGCCGAAATGATGATTGCATGGATTTTGCTAACGAAAATGATTGATTATACTGATGTGAAATGTCCTCCATTAGTCTGATAGCCTTATTTTGTTTATTAAATTTGCCGCTGTTTATCATCAATTTTTTTTTTTTTTTGTTTTGTTTTTAAGTCGCACATATGGTTACATTAAACATAAAAAGATACAGTATTATTAGATTATCATTTTGTAATGTTTTATTTATCTATGATATGTTTTTTTTAAAAAAAAAAAAACATCTTTATTGATTAATTTATTATTTGTCATCATTTCTAATTCTTTACTCTTTCTTTTTTTTTCAAGAGATCCTTAAGAATTTGTTTGTTTGTTTTTTTTGAATCTTTTAGTTATTATTTTCTTTTTTTTTTTTTTCTAAAATCAATCCTCAAAAAATTATTAATAAGGATAACTTTTTGATAATTTAAATATTTTGTAAAATTTTTGGTTAATTTATTTGTTCTAATGTCTCCTATTTTTCGTAATGATCAAAAAAGCTAACATAAAAACGTATTTATGAGATTTATGGATCTCTCTTGATTTAAGCTATCAGATCATGTCCATATGCTACTCAGTGTGATTGTTTCAATTATGTAAATTTTGAAAAAGCTAGCAAAATTTAAATGAATCATCATCATCATCACCATCACCATCATCATCATCATCATTGTCATCGTAACCATTCATTGGATTAAACGGCTCACCTGTAAATCCTGCTTGAAAGGTTGTCCCGTGATCTTCAACTAATTGCTTGAGTGGCTCGATTGCATCAAAAGTGTCATCTGATACAGCAATAACCCAAAGTCTTGTTGTTCCTGCATACTTCTCACTCATCTCATACTAATCTTGAAGAACACCTGTACCTGTATCAATGCTTCTCAATACCTCTTGCCCTTTGCTCTCCAGTAACCGTTAATTATAAGCCATATACGATTTTTAACCTGATATCCGGTTTCTCGCTTCATACTCTCATAATTTCCGGTAATTAAACAATATTTGTACATTAAAAAAAAAAAAAGTGTATAAACACTTTTCAATTCAACAGTAACTCTTAGAGCTTAAAACGAAAGAAAGCGAAAGATGAACTAATAAAAATTTAAATTTTATTACAGCTACCTGTTTTAGTATCATATTAAAAGTTCTTTTATTTTTTTAAATCATAGTCACCAGAGTGTTCAATCTGTTGAAATTAGTATTTCTTAAAATTTATATGGTATTTTTTTAGATAATTTTACAGAATTTTAGCAGTCCTATTTAGAATGAATTTTATAATCTCTCAGATCTATTAACACAACTAACTCTTAGTACAAGCAAAAAAAAAAAAAAGGCAATGAATCAATTTTTTGGCTAATATTTGGTATTGTTTGCTTCATAATATTAGCTACAGTAATCCTACCAAAAAGTGCGCAGATGGTTGTTGCGGGTTGTCGCAGGTGTTGACCCCTACGGCCTCCAGACGTAACGTTACGTAACCCTACCCAATCAATTCGTCCACTCCTCATCAACCAATTTCTTATCCATTTCTAGTAAAAATCATGAAGCAACCATCCTTTTTAACCCTTTCCTAAAGAACATTTTCATTTTGCATTTTTATGAGATGGATTTATCACGAAATGATGTATGGTATGATAGCTAAACTATTGAGTATTACTCTCAGTAATGAAATTCAAACCTGAATAGAAACCAGAAACCGGTCATAAATAACCAGAAAGTGTAACAGTTTTTTAACAACAAAACAAACAAAACAAAAGTAACAGATCTTACTAATATTAAAGGATGGCAATAAAATGAAGTGAAATGTCTGTTTTATGTTTTATTATTTGTATACATACTTAAATCTAAATACATGCTCATATTAACTGCACAAGTGTGCTTATTGTCGTTTTCTCATAAAGAGTAGAAGACGGTACTTGAGCGCTATTTTGTTGGGCGCTAATGGAAGAGAAGCATCAGGCTGCTTCTTCATCATCTTTTCATGATTGTTGCTGAAAAAGCATGTTGAATACTATTGAAATATTTGCCATTTAAGCTGTAAATTTCTCAACACAATTCTATTTTAAAGAAATGAGAAAATTTCATCAATAAAAATTTATTCAATTATCAATTTTTAATTATAAATTTATCGGTACTGAATGTACCATCTCATTTGGTTCATTCAAGCAAATGTTTACTCATTTATGCACGATAAACTTAACCTTAACTTCATAAATACCGCTATTCTCATTTTTATTTTTTGAGCGCAAAAATCGCCGTGTTGTGCGCAAATCGTCTCATTGGCATAACTTCATAGAAGTTAACAAAGTGCCTAATGCATTTCACAAATATTTAAATTTCATGTATTTTTTTTTTGTAGTAATATTCAAATAAATATTGCAAAAGATTTTTGACATATTTTTACAAAGTACATACAATTCCTTACAGCCTAATATTTCCAGAAAAATTATCAAAACAAAATCTCAACATGCATAAATCAAAAATGATCAAATAAAATTTTTCACTTTTTTAAATTTGAAATCATTTAAAAAAAAAAAAAGGGATCAAAGATTTAAAAATTTTTTAAAAACATACGGAAATTTATTTTGTAACAAATTTCAAGGGTCAGTCATTTAAAATGTTGATATTCTTCAAGATTTTATCCAACTTAACGACTCAAAGACTAGCAAACACCAAATTTGATGACCATAGAGAGTGTGACATCGTTTTCAACATTTTGTTTACAGTAATTCCACATAATCAGATGACAATCTGGATGACAAACCGATTGCAAAAATTGTCAACTTGTCAAAAATTTGTCAAATTTTGATAAGCTTCCTGAATTCACCAGCATTTCGTTATCTGTCTCTTGCTCTTCTTAAATCCAAGCAACTCTTTCAATAATCATTCGTTTATTTTATCAGCTAAGGGATTCAGCTATTTTCAATAAATGTTGAAATTTATGTCACAAAGAAAACATATTTCTTTCAAAGTAATATGTACAAATATTAGCTATACCACTTGTTTGTGAAATAATTTTTGCAATTTGTAAAATTAATTTGCTTTTTTTTTGTTTCTTTTTTTTTTACAACTTTTAGAAAAATAATCAATTTGAAAATTGTAGACAAAGAGAAAAAAAAAGAAGAAAATATGCAAATTTTTCGATGAAATGATTTTGTTAAAATTTATTTAAATGTTTGAATTATGTTTGAAAAAATTTTTGAATCGGTAATTCAAACGCAAAGGTAATGGATATCAACCAATAATCCTTTTTAGTGGCGGTGTTATCGTCTTGATGACATTGTCAAAACATATATTTCTATTGTCATCTTTTGGAACAGATTGCGCATCGTCAATCTGCGCTATTTCTTTCAACCAATGTTAACTATACCTACCCCCTGTAGTGTATCATAGTTCTTCACCTAATAGATAAAAAAGATGAAAAAAAAAAAAAGGAAAAAACAGATAGTAATAATACTTACTCACATTTAATAGTATAATTTATTAATTAGCTATCATTAAAAAGTTGAAATAAATTCCGAACACTGAGAATTCACTCATTTTCCAATACATTTTATAAAATATTGTAATGAAAATTCATAAATAATAGATGAAAATATTACAAAATTATCATCATTAGTTTATTAATAGCAGAATTAAGCTTATTTAAATAAGATTTTTATAATTTAACAAAATTAAACTTTATAACATCAAGAAATAATTTCACTCGCTATTGTGTTTCTTTTCTTTTTTACATATAATAAATTTAGTTTGAGAAGTAATGAGAGCTATTTTAATGATAGCATTTAATCAGATTTAGTCTTAAGTTATTATCATAGAAAAACATTGTGAACCATATCGATCATTTTTCTTGATTACAAATAAAGAATTCTCTTGATAATTTTTACTGAAGGTAGATTATTCAAAACCTTAACTAATTTTTAATAATTTTTAAATTAACTTATTAGCACTTTAATTTTTCAAACAAACATTATCAAATATTAAATTTGAATGTTTTCTTAAGTGATAAAATAAGCAGCAGCAACTTTGTGCTTTAACTGATCTATTTATATTGGTTACTTTTCTCAATTACTTTTACTTCAACTCTATTTCAATTTTTTTTTTTTTTTATCAAGCTTAGAATTTATTCGAGAAATTAAATCCCTTATCAATTGTGTGTATATTTTTTATTTGTTAATAATCAAAATATTGTTGAGTTAATTGTGTAAATATATCAAAATATTGTTGAGTTAATTGCAACATACTGCAAAATGATCTTATCAGTGATCTTATCAGATGATAACCAATACTCTTATCAGTTAATTGTTATTTCAATTTCTAACAATAATTTATTTTACATTAGAACAATTAAATACAGTTGCAACAACTTTTTTGCTTTTTTTTTTTATTGACAGATTGCGCAATCATTGAACACATTTTGGTTATCAATTAGTTAAAATGCTGTTGATCCTAACGTAAAGTAACAAGCATTTTCAAACAGATGTTCAGGAGTATGAAGACTTGACCTTGTGTTGACCTTTGCTATTACTATCTTTTCTAAAATAAAGAAGCATAATTGTCATATGTTGCAGAAAATATTCTTTAACTCTAAAATGATAGCTAATTCAAATTTGCCTTAGTTTAATTCTACCACGAAAAAAAAAAAGAATTTACAAATCATTAATTGAAATATTATATCATTGATAGTGATTCACTTCAACGACAAACAAAACTGGTTTGTAAATAAATGATTTCAGGTGGTGTACCAATGATTTATAACTTAAACATTTACAGTTATTGAAAAGAAAAATTGATTGATTGTATATGTGAATGAGCATGCATGCATGCATGCATGCATGCATATGCATGTGTGTATTGGTTTGATTCTTTTCAATGACGAAAAATTTAATTTAAGCGAAATCTATGACAGTTTCTAGTATTCCTGGACTCTACATTAATTGTAGGTGTGTACCAATGTATCACTGATCGTCGTCTCCTCATCTCATTTCAACTATGTCACTTCGATTGAGCGTCTGTCACTTTGATAATTTTTTTTTTTTTTTGTAATCCAGCAGAATTAGATTATTTAGAAAATCTGAAAAGTTTACACTTGCACAGAGGAAGAGGAATAGCTGAAAGAACTAATAAATTTAATTAGTATTTAAATTTTAACAAATTATTTACAATTTTAAAAAGAAAAATTTAATTGTTAACAGAAAAAGTAGAGTGAACAAGACGAAAACTAATCGTTTATTGATAATTTTTTGTTGACTAATTTCATGTTTACTTCTATTCACATATTAGAGTTAACAATTTATGGAACTGGTTTTGCTGACTTATACAAGTAGTAGAAGAAATTGATTACTTCCTCCTTACTTCTTCAAAAAAAAAAAACCAAAAAAACATTTTACTGAACTGAAATTGTGCGGAAGAATTTTCCTATTTTTGAAGAAAATAATTTCAGTATATATATATATTTTTAATGTATTAACAAAAAAAAAAATAATTGTCACTGATAATTTTTTCTTCCGTTCTCTCTCTCTCTCTCTCTCAGTACTTTTACAGTTTTTAAATTAGAACAAGAAATCAAGAAAATATGAGAAATCCGGTTTGCAATTGTTCTTGTAGCTCTTAAATTATTCAATTATCTCTTAAAAATTATTAAAATTATCTCTTATCAAAATTATTATCTCTTAAATTATTATTTCAAATAGTTTATTGCTTTCTTTAACAATAATAAAAATTACAGGTAGGTTATATTAACAGGTATGAATGATTGTTTCTTTAAAAAAAAATAATACCTTAATTAAAAATTACATACTATTAAATTTTATTTTTTTCTTTTTATAATAATTAATTTTTATTTCAGCTAATTTAAAGAGAACTTCAAAAGGACATATTATAGGTTATAATTTCTTTATAACTTAGTCACAAAATAATTTTTGCATGGAATGCTGAAATGTTAGAATTAATCATAGCACAGTTTTTTCCTTTTTTTTTTTATCTTAACTATTTCAGTTTTCTTTTTTTTTTTACATTTCTATGAATTTATAAATGTGTAAGTAATTTTGAAGATAGCATTTCTTCATGAATCATTTAAAAGATCAAATAAATCGCATCAAAAAAAAAAAGAAGAAATTGTCTTAAAAAAAATTTTTTCATACAAATAAACATCATTCTTCCAACGTTCATCAACAATCTTCTCACTTTTGCACAACTAAAATTTCTTTAGTTTTTCAATTTTATTGATTTGTCTTAACACAATTGTTTATTTCAATCATTTTCACTGTAGAATAACATTTAATTCTTTCAATAAAATTATTTTTGCTACCGATTTATTTTACGCTTCTAAAAATTAAAAAATTTTTTTTACTATTAGTTAAATTTTATCAAATATCTCCTCGGTTTCATAAAAAACAAAATGGAAAAGTAAATGTATTAGATTAGTTTTATTAAATTAAACAATTAAAACATTGTTTTTTTTATTTTTTTTCTGCATAAAAATGCTTCAATGTTATTTTTTAATCGATTATATATTGAAAACAAATTATTTAAAAAAAAAAAACACTTTTTTTTTTCAGAAATTATTAAAAATAAACAAGAATTTATTTAAAAAAACTATATGCAATGTTAATAGTACTAGCAATTTTACATATATTACTTCTGTGGAATGTAGCTAATTCACTTGAATGCTACACGGGTTTTTCTGTTATTCGTGGTCAAACAGTTGGTACAACAAAAGAAATTTGTAGTAAACAATCTGATTCATGCTATCGTGCTATGGCTAATATTAATTTATTAAGTACAGTTAAAAAAGCTGGATGTTCTACTTTACGTTGTTATGTTAGTTTTTTTTTTTTTAATTTTCTTTCTCATTATCATAAATAAAGATTGGTAAAGAAGAAATTTCCTGAATAAATAATTAATTGCCCTTTGATCTCAATATAAGTAAACATTAGAAAATTTGTTTTCATTTGTTATCTATGTGAATTTTTTTGCTAATTTACTGTCTATGCTCCTTTTTTTTTTTTTTCTTTTATGTGAATATTTAAGAATATTTAAATTAATATTCCTGGCAAAAAAATAAAAAAACTTTTAATCAAGATTTTAGAAAAAGTTATTGACATAGAAGATTAAGTAATACTTGAATATCTGGCTAATGTAGATTGCTTTATTTTCTTGATCAGTAAAAATAAGGCTGAATAAGGCTTATTTTTTTTTTTTTTTTTAGTTAAACAAAAACAAATGCATCGAGCAGGATTTATTCGGTAGCAAAGCAATGTTTTGCTGTTGTGACGATCGAGACTTGTGCAACACCGCTTCGACATCTTTTGCAGTTATTATCTCTATTATAGCACCGCTTTACTTTATTTTATGATCAAAATTAAATGAGGGTAGTGCTTTGTTATAAAAATTCTCGAGAACAATTTGCTGTAGCAAATTTTGGTAGCTTCTAAAATTCGAATGCTTATAATTTTTGGGAAATATCATATTGCTCTTTGATTATTTAGTGTTTCAGCTAGAATTACGGATAACTCTCCCAGGCAATTTTACAGCGTACTAAGAGTAATTTACATATCGGTATAAGGTGTTCATTAAGAATAGATCAGTAAAAGTATTTATAGTAATTAACTTTTTACATTAAGTTGCATTCGAGAATAATATTTGTTCATAGTTTTAGAGTTCATCCAGATGTGATTAATGATTATTTTAATATACTATTTAATTTTACTTATTTTAATAATAGATGAATTTACTTAGCTTTCGTATGTATGTGTCATTTAACTGCCTAATAAATATCCACGTTCCGCTTACGCATACATCATCCGCATTTATCTATAGTTCCTTGATTTCAACAACGGAACGGCTCATAATCATTACACACACGTATGATTAATGGATGATTCCATATAATTATGAATTCTAAAATATTCAAATCAGTTTATTGCGTTATAATGGAAGAAAGTGGCTGTTCCCAGCAGGACTGGCAGCATCGTGTCATTTACATTGTGGGACTTTTTGTCTTTGTCGAGAATCTGAAAACATTTTTGTTCAATAGTTTAAAATGGATTATCTGAAAATTGCAATTTGTAATATCTGGTGTTTTGTTTAAAAATGCCAAGACATAGCTAAAGTTATGCTATTTGCCAAACTTTCTTTTAATCATCAGCTAATTAGGCTTTACGTTTAATTGCTGGGAGAAAAGGGATGATTCTAAGTAAAATAAAAGTATTGTTTCAAATTTTGAATTAATGCTAAATTTTAAAGAGTTATAAACTGAATTTGAATCAGATGATTTGAGAGATTCAGGTACATCCCAATATGAAAGTAACACGAGAAATACAAGTAAATGGTAAATCTATCGAGACAAAATATGCCGGTATGTAAATAGTATGTAAATCTTACTGAGTAGTAATAGAAGAATTGTTAATTTAGATGAGAAATTATTGGCAAATATATTTTACTGTCAATCTGAAATTTAGTTTCTTTTATTCTCATACTACTATAAAATAGAAATTAACAATAGCACTTGATCAGATCTAGCTATAAATTGTTTTGACTCAAGGAGAGTATATGTATATGTCCAGTGAAGGACAAGCTATGTTTATTAATTATGCTCCCGGTGGGCAATCTCCTAACAACGATGATTTCTCAATTCATGCCTATCAAGGTAGGTAATAGCATCACCTATCATCCATCTGCAATAAACTTATAAAGAGGAATGAAAGAAAATTGAAATTTTTAAAATTTTCAAATAAAAATAAAAAAAAACCCCTATGCAATGACAAAATTTAGGGTTAGCTTTTAATGAAACATTAGATTAGTAGACATAATATGGATTCAGATAGTAATTCAGATAGTGAAGTGAAGAGTATGGGTTTAGTTTTTTGTTTCTATCATAGATTTGACAAATTGAATTGGTTCATATTTGGAATAAGTTTGAACAATAATCTTTATTATTTTATCTTTCTTAAGTTGAATTAATTAAAAATATCTAAAAGAGATATTATTAGAAAGTGTTATAGTGCACACACCAACAGCTTATAATGGCGATGATTACTTGAGCAGACGATGGTCAGAAATTACCCGGAAACTTGCTCATTTTGCTCAAACTAATAGTAACGGAAATCGATGTTAATGATTAAATCGTTCATAACTTACCGAAAAATTAACTTTTTCAGTAACTAACTTACTAATCATAATTATTCATTTGGAAGCAATTTGTATAAATTATTATTAATTCAATTTTAATTATTCCCTACCGTAATGCAAATATAAACCATACATATACATCTACTCAACTTAGAGCTAAGCATTAATCTACGATGACGCATCTTTTCACGCACACATACGCACGCACACACACACACGCACACAAATTCTAACAACCTCGCTTTCATACAAATACACAATGGATATTTGCGATACTGTTTAAGGATGTTTTGACCTTTAATACCACTGTTAAAACACTTATCAATAATTGAGCATATTGATAAGTGACGTGACACATCCTTACGACTACGTCACCCGAATATGCGCGTCTCCAACGTGACCTTAAAGTTTTGAGCTGCAATAAGCGTCAGATGACTTAGAGCGACGCAGTACCGTAACCGATGAGAATACGAGAGCATTGCTACTAGAACTTTCGATGAAGAGAAGGGTAAGGAAGGGTGTTATATGTTTGTGACGGGAAGGGAGTGGATCGATCCGGTACTATCCGGTACTGTTCCATTTCAGTATGACATCATTCAGGTCAAGAAGATAGCTTTAACTTGAGCTATTCGGAGCTGCTCCATGAGTGCTCTCAAAAAAGCATCCAATTAAAACATGTAATATTGCTTTTTCATCATTTATCAGTTATTCTTCGCACAGTTTTTGTCACACCTCCCTCTCTCTCTCTCTCTTTCTCCCTCTCAGGCATCCATCCATTCTATGCTTTCTATTTACCTGTATTTTGCCCTACTTTCAATCAAATATTAAATTGAACTAAAATTATTTTGCATTGAGATAAAATAACATCGATACTTGGAAATAGTAGTGCCGCGTCATTAGTGTGATCCTTTTTTAATAGTTTAGTTTCATTGATCGTCCTGAGAAATTCATTGTATTATCACTTCGGGAATTTGTAATTAAGGATGAATTTCGGTCGCTATTTCGGAATGCTACTATATTTCGGTAAAAGAGGCAAAAATTCATCTGTCACGTTTTTATTTTTAGATTTGGTTGCGACTTTCGGCAAAGAGCTTTCATTTCTTCTATTATTTCGTAAAAGCACCGATTTAAGACAAGAAAGCAACAATGTTTTTTCATCGAATGAATGGTGGCGGTCGTATGAATGGCCCGGTGGACACAACGCTATATGATATCTTGAACGTGAAACCGAATGCTACTATGGATGAGATTAAAAAGGTAACTTTTTGTCTTTAACACAAAGGATTTCGTTTTAAAGAGAGGAAACATGATCATTTTCTGTTTTGGCAAAATAAAATAACATTTTTCTATCATAAACAAGGTTAAAATTTATCGAAAATTAGCTCATGAAAACTTTATTCATGTGCTGGCAACATTCTGATTTGTATTTTAGTCCTACCGACATTTGGCGAAAGAACACCATCCCGATAAGAATCCATCTAATGGCGATAAGTTCAAGGAAATATCGTTTGCTTATGAAGTGCTAAGCAATCCGGAACGAAGAGAAGTTTATGACGCTAGAGGTTTAGACGGTATTAAGGAAGGTGACAGTGGTAAGAGATATACCTTTCAAAAAGTATTTGCATGAACTTAACTGTAGTGTAATGGTAAATCATTGTAGGAGGATATTCCGGTGCTGAAGATCTTTTTTCAACACTCTTTGGTGGTGGTTCGCTTTCGTCATTTTTCGGTGGTGGTGGTGGGCGCCGGAGAAAAATGCGTGGTCAGGACATGGCTCATCCGCTAAAAGTATCTCTGGAAGATCTCTATAATGGCAAGAAATCCAAATTGCAGCTGTCAAAACGAGTGATTTGCAGCACTTGTCATGGGTAAGTTAATATGTGTGTACGAGACTTCAAACTTGCATAGATTTTTCATATATTGATTGGCATACGCCTTTTATATTGAAAGTTTTCTCTAATCATTGCAGATTTTTTTTTTTTTTTTTTGAATAGATTTTTAGTTGTTTTTACCAAATAGAGATGCGTTCAATGTCGTTGAGTTTGAAAAAGCTTGAAAAATGCTAATAAGCGAGATTTTAACATATTTTCTCAAAAAAAAAGAGATTTCCAGGTAATCTTTATGTTTCTTAGCAATGTATATTATGTTCTCCTGATGTATAAAAGCATGGTATTTATTAGAGAGGCTTTTTATGATGTTTTGTAGTTTGTAGTTTGTGGTCCTCTTCGGAGAAATGTCTGATGCAATTTTGCTTTTTTATCAACCGGAACTGTTCTTCTAATGCCTTATATGTATTCAGTGAAGTCTTTATTGATTTTTCTTGACGTCATGTCGCATCGATCGAGATTAAAAGTAGTTACATGGTATTTACTACTGTGAGATGGGTGCTACGAAATAATGAATAGACTCAGGTGTATTTCCTGTTAACGAAACGGGAATATTCCTGTTTCTTTTGAATTTGGTTCTTAATGCTTATCTTGGTGCTGTTATCTTTCGAAGCTGTTATGCTCAGTTGTCGTCCGGACTGAAGATGAATATTATTGGAAGTTCTACTATAGCCATCCATTTTTAGTTGAATCCTGTAATCTTTTAAATGATCTTGAATTAATTACTCATATTTTCCACCTTTTGTAGTCGTGGTGGTAAGGAAGAGGCGTCATACAACTGCCAAGAATGTCGTGGAGCTGGTATCAAGAGCGTCATAAGGAAACTTGGTTCCGGTCTAATTCAACAAATGCAGATACAGTGCCCAGATTGCAATGGAACAGGTGTGGAATAATGCATGCGTAGATGACTTACTTTTTTTTTTTCGGTGGTTTAAATTCAATTGAAGGAGTCTCTGAGTGCTTCATGGAAATCCCGATTTCATGACGCTATAATATCACTATTGACGCTTCCAAGATGAAAGAATTAGTGCGCAAGTCTGTTTGGAGGATACATTAGAGGCAATTTGCATTATAATCCAACGTGGGATTTTTTTTTTTTTGAGTCAGCAGTAATCGATTGCAGGGACGAAAATACCAGAAAAAGATCGATGCAAGACATGCAGAGGGGAGAAGACTGTGACTGAAAAAAAAATGTTAGAAGTGGTTATTCAGAGAGGAATGCAAGATGGACAGAAGATCTGCTTTAGGGGTGAAGGCGATCAAGAGGTTCTGTGTTCTCTGTTTTAGAAATTTTTGAAATAATTTCTGATAATTGCTTACAACCGAAAGGGAGCGAAGCTTTTTTGAGAAACCTGCTGTATTTAATTTCGTCATTTTTTTTTTTTTTTGTAGCCAGGAGTTGAGCCAGGTGACGTGATAATCGTGGTACAATCTAAACCTCACGATATCTTCCAGAGACAAGGCGACAACTTATTTATGCAGAAGTAAGTATTAAGTATGACTTTACAAAACATTGTGAAACTTATTTTTCATCAGTTCCTTAAATCACGGCGATCTAAAATCAGTAAGAACTTGATTTCAGGAAAATATCATTGAACGATGCACTTTGTGGTTGTCAATTTGTAGTCAAGCACTTGGATGGTAGAGAGCTGATAGTGACCACTCAACCCAATGATATTTTGGAACCAGGTACTGCTGTTTATAAATATAAATCATTAAATTTACTCTTCACTCGTGAGAAATCTAGAATAGTAACATCTGGATTGTCGAGAAATGGTGCAGTTGTTTCGCACATTTCGTCTCAATATTCGATTTGCCAATCTTACAGTTTGACTTCGCGCAGTAACATCCTTATTGATTCAAATTTTAAACCGTATAGCGGATCAAAATTAGAGCAGGAAAATTTGATTGATATTTGGTTAAGAGACATACCTTGTTGTTACCTATTTTATAAGGTGTACAACCTCTTATAACGATCGCCAAACATGAGATGCAAAAACTATGAACAAAGCAAGAGATTTGAACGAAAGTTTTTGAACAGATTGCATTCGTGGTATTCGTAATGAAGGGATGCCCATACCGGACAGTCCAGGTGCTGGAGGTGTTCTGTTCATCAAATTCCAAATCGAGTTTCCGGAGGACAATTTTTTGAAAGACGAAAGTGACTATAAGGTTTTATTTTGTCACAATTTTATTTTAAAGTAGTTTGGAATTATTTGAATCACGTTACGTAATTTGATTTTAGAAACTTTTTGTTCCTTTGTTTTTGTTCATCTATATTGGTGACTTCTTTAAGAAATTAGGAATTCCCAATTTCTTAAAGAAGTCACCAATATAGAAGTAATATCTGCTTTATTGTCTTAGATTCCAGTCATGTTCCTTAAGCACATTTTTAAGTTTTCACTCGATTTAGAAATTTTTGAAATAAAAACCAATATTTTTTTTTTTGCTTTTTCAGTGTCTAGAAATACTGTTAGGTGGTCGCCCGCAAACAGGTCCGTTACCAGAAGGCGAAAACGTAGAGGAAGTTTCTTTGATGCCATACGATGAACATCGTTATGAAAAAAGAGGTCGTAGTGGTGAAGTGTATCAAGATGATGCTGATGAGGAAGAGGAAGAAATGAGTGGCGGTGGTGGTGGTGGTGGTGGTGGCACACACAATGTTCAGTGCGCCCAATCATAGTTCTATGAATTTAGTAACTTAAAAAAATACTGAAAAATTCGTCCTACAAATTTTTATATATCCTGAGTTCCCACATTTAAACATAAAGCGATTTTGTTGGAATCTTGGGCACATGCCATAGATTTTGTTAAAATCTTGGGCCTTTTTTTTTCTAAAAATCTAAAATGCTTCTCATTTGCTGTTATCACATAATTGGGTAGCCTTTTGCGGTAATTTTATCCTTTTTGATGTCAGTCAGCTATCATGCTTCCTATAGATATTTTTGAGACCTTTAATGTACTTTTTCTGGAGCCGCTTTTATTTGTTCTTTTTCTATTTCCGAACATAAAGTTGGCGTACTAAGAAATAAAGAACTGTCCGTTTATTTCTAAAATCTAAAAAGAGCAGAAAGAAAAATTAAAAGTACAATAGGAAAGACTTTAGTATTCGAGATCATCTATTCTCCTCAACTATTTAAGGTTACAAATGCCGACTTTCCTCTGAAAGTGACTCGTTTTTCCCACTGCACATTATTCGAAATACTTATGAACATTACTTGAGTTTTTCTCCAACTGATAAACCTGTGTAACCATAACCTATTTGGTAAGATTTGCATATTTGTTTTTCTAAAGGTTAGTCTGGATAAAAAGGTTTCTGCTTTGCTCTGTACTCATCAAAAAAAAAAAAAAAAAAAAGAGAAATGATCATATATGGAATCATTGATGTACCATTTCATAGAATAATGAATTAAGAAGAACAGCGTTAGTAATAATATACATAGGTAGATTATGAGCAGTGAAATATGCTTGACAGGCACACAAAGAATTGGTCTGTGGTTAAACTGCTTCGTCTGCTGTTTCAAGGTCTCCTCTAAAAAAATACAGGTCAGTACAAGAAATATGAATTTTAGAAAACCAAATTTAACATTTTTGAGAAGTGAAGATATAAAGCCTTAGATAAGGATCAAGGCTAGGAGTGTATGCAAAATGATCAAAAAGTATTGCAATCATCGGTTTTCGTCTATTCGATTTGTCGTTTCCTGAACTTTCTGCCGAAAGTATTTTCCGCTACATACGCCTAGAAATAATTTAGTGCAGGGCGAAATAAGAGTCGCATAAATGTGAGTAATATGGATTTCTAATTCTTAAGGCATAATATACAGGACTGTCCTGTTTTGCATCTCTTTTTTTCTTTTTTAATGACCTTCAAAAAATCTACCACAACAATAAAAAATAAAATTAACCAGCAATAGCGCCACCAAAAGCGGCAAAAATACCGGCTACAGTAGAACCTGCAATGAATCCGACAGGACCACCTACTGCAACACTACCAACAGTTGCTGCTACTATCGGATATTTAGCTGTTTTTGCGACTTCAGCTTTTTTTAAATTTTTATGAGCTTCATGAACATCTGTTTGAGCTCTTTCGATGTGTTCCTCAATACTATCAACAACATCATGTTGTGCCTAAAAGGAAGGAAATGATTTTAATGGGATTTTTGTCAAATTATATGTAAACGCAGGTAACAGTATAAAATGAAACCATCAAAAATAAATAACATGGAAAAGAGACAGTGTATCACCCGAATGAATTTGGCTGCTTTTCTTCGCATTAAGATGACTTTGCTTTGAAATATGAATTGTCGCATGCGCTTATTCGAATTCCTTTTCTGATTTCATTTACTAAATAAAATTATTAGACCGATACTTACATGAACAAGCTGTGAAAGTTGCATCATCATTTCATTCAAATCATCGATATCCTAGAATGAGATAAAATTCAAGACATGAACGGTAAACAATAAAATGAATTTTTTATTTTGATAAAATTCATATTACTAAGATCATATAGATGATAAAATGAACTCACACAGGCCAACTTTTTCACTTCTGCAGCTTTTGTTTTAGCTTCTTTTGCTTGCAAAAGCAATGAATTTATCCTTATTTGCTCTTGTTGTTGCAATTTGTCTTCCTAAAAATGTATACATACTACATGGAAATTCAATAGTGAATGGGAAAGAGCAGTTAATTTTGAGATAATAAAGTTCTACTCCTTCCTCAGTAACTTTTCCTCCCTGTTCTCAATAACAAATGGCTTTTTAAATAATCAAGAAAACCTCTGTTTCTTCTGCCAACAAAGATTTCTCGTACAAATCATCATAAATATTCTTTTTTTCTAATGTTTCATTAGCAGCAATCCTATTCAGTGCATTGATAACTTCCTGAATTTGAATTCGAATTGGCTCAATGTGAACGTCGAAACGCTCTTGATCAATTACATTTAGATGTGATCGAACATTTAACACTTGTTGCAGATCACCCAATAATTGATCAATTTTTTGTGAAGCATCTTTCCTGCTTTTAGTATCCAATAATGAGTCGTTCTACAAAAAAAAAGGAAAAACAACAAATGATCATGTATTGCTGAAATTTAATCTGAAAATAATTCCACCTACAGTAAAATCAACTAACGCTTCAAATTCTAAACTACATATAACTAGGAATACTCTTGACTAAAACAGAATGCATTTAAAACAGTTAACCTCATTAATGCTTATAAAAAGTAATCGTAGTTCACGAAGATTCATTCTAGTCATACGCTCAAAACGTTCAATAATTATCAAAGCTCGAGACCAATCCATAATTCTGAAACAGGAAAACTGCCACATACTTTCACAATCATTTAAAGTTGATACTCATCACCACACTAAACCATAAATTTTGTTTATCATCTTTATTTGTTTATCATACATTACCCATTCTACGAATGGCACATTTACTTTAAGCATTTATTTAATCTCTTTTCAATGAAACATCAATCTATCAGCTCAATTATGGCTTGCCAATGAAATTAAAAGTGAGCCTTACTAAAACACATTTCTTCAAGTATTCTGTAGAACCAGATTATGTCTTCGGTTTCAATTTTATTCCACCACTTTCACAGAATGATTTGTGTTACATTAATAATTTGAATTCAAGTTTGAAATACATTCATAAACAAAACAACAGCAACAAATTGATAAATAATTTTTATTTATGTTTTGTACAAGCAACTAGTTAATCATAAGTACTAGAAAATGTTAACAGCATTTGTTCACTGTGACGAATTTTTTCACTTCCTTGACAAATTCTCTGAAATTAAAAAACAAAATCAAATTTCGAGTCAAATCTTATTTCTTGGAATTTAGAACATGAATTATTCGTACTAATAGGCCTAAAAAAAAGTGTAGGAATTGCAAAGGCATTTTGCAATTTGACTGTGACAAGACAAAATATTTTAAATTTGAGGTAAAGAAATATAGTTATAAGCACTTCAGCTTATCAAAATTGCTTATTACTATGAAAACAACAAAAATAACCTATTATTTTTATGTTCTTCAGCGACTTTCCCTAACAAATCGTTGAAATTTCGCAGAGCAATACGCGTGTTATTTTCCCTCCATGCTGCTGGGATCAATTTCATCAAAGCTCGACATTTTCGGATCATGGACTGATCAGATATTGTTGCACATTGTAATGCAGGCATCACTCGGTTTACAATACCGTCCAGAACCAACTCTCGCATTTTCTCCTCAGATAAAACGGCAGACAGACAGTTCAGACATCGAATTAACTGCAAATTGTCAGCCACAAATTAACAAAATGGTCCAGAAAAAACAAGCATGTAATTTCATTTCTTATTTCTTCCTAGGATATCAGTTAAAGTGACAATTAACTACTTTTATAAGCTTGGCTTTTTTAACATATAAATCTTTTATAACAATAACAGATTGTTTTGGCCACCAGCAAAAAAATGAACCTTAACGGAAGTCCAAGTTTGTCGATCCAAGAATGCCTTACAGCCCGTGGCAGGATTCTCAACAGCTCTGTAAAATATTTGAAAAAGTAAAAGACGTATTTAGAACTTAAATAATTAAATAATAGATTAATCAAGCAAAGACGCACTGTTTAGAATAAATGGGAACAAATAAATCTTCATCGATGGCATCCTGAGCACGTAGACATATAGTTTGCAGAAGTTTTTGCACTGGCCGACTACTTGGCACTAGCGTTGGACATTCGTCAATCAATTGATTGAGCAGAAAACCTAAATTTCGACATTGATGTTGCGATAGAGGGTCCCATCGCTCACGGATCAGATCTGAAAATAGGCAAGTGCATCATGCCTGTAAGTACTTTTAAGGATTATTTTAAAAAATTTCTCAGAAATGTTAATAAAGTAGCATTCATAAATCTCTAATGTATGGTATCGTATCTCCTTCTTCTTCCTCTAAAGATAAAAAAAAAGGTAAAGATATGCACTTCCTTTATGCACACGATTTCTGGAAAGTAACCTATCAGGTAAAATTTATTCAAACATTAATGAAAGTGTTTCCAATCCGGATTTTAACGACTGTTAATTTAAAGATAAACAAAGAGAATGTTTGCAAATGTTAAACGAAACGTCGTTTGAAACTTAAATCTATATTACTTTTTCTAACTAAAATTTACGAAAGACTTCATTTAATATAAACAGTACCTGTAATTTTCCATAAAACAACTTTCTCAATACACAGAGGTATAAGTGAAACAAGGATAGGGTGTTCGACGTTAATGTTCGAGCTTACTGCGGCACATCCTATCAAATCTTCGTACCAACGCATTGAATTCACTGGACGACTGTCATTCTATAAAGAGAAAATTTAACTGGAAATATAAATGTACCAGAAACAATAATTGTATAATGGTACAACTGCGCATGTGTGCATGCAATATTCTACATTAATGGGTTATATAAGCAGCTTATGTGTCAATGGAAAGCTTGAAGAAAATGAAACTGGAATGCCTTGTAAGGAGAACAGCAAAAGTATCATTAGCAGCCGATTATTGTCGTGCTAAAGTAAAGTGTAAAAAAAAAAAATCTGTAAACTCAAAAAATACCTCAAGCGGTCCCCAGTCGATTAGTTCCAAACGAATAAATAATGAGATAAGCTTTGGAATGCATAGATGAACATAAGCATTGACGAAGGACTCCTCATCATGTGCTAACCAGTCAACAAATCTTGATAGAATTCGATCAATACGACAAAAATCATCAAGTGCATCAACGAATATGACATTTGCCGCTGCACGAATCTCATCTGTAAAACGAATATTTTTACTAATTTCAGCACTTCCTGAGGAATTTCTCTTCTTTTAATATAATAAATGCATCATAATACACACCGATCGATTGTTGGCGAGCTACAATCTCACTATTTGTCTCTTCATCATCTGTACTTAAGCCTTCCTCATGTGAAACACCTTCTAAAGTATTTTCACGCAAACGACGACGACGCGATCTGAAAAAAAAGATAAGTTTAGCTATCTCCACTCATTATCGATTGCAAACGTTATGAATTCTACCTTCTTGCTTCTCGTTCTGCTGCTCTTTGACTGACTTCAGGGGCTCGTTGGTGCAGTGGTCGACCAGCTGCAGCTGCCGAGCATTCATCATACATATCGTGCACATCGTTTCTTCGTCGTGTTCGAAGTCTTCGAGCCCGGCCATCTAGAATTTCTGCCATTCGACTTTCCAAATCCTTAACTTCGCCTATCTGAAGTACAATGACGACAGATAAGTTTAAAATTTAATACTGTTATATAATTATCAGACAGTTGCTCCGAAAAGAAATCATTTCGAAGATATTTACTTTTTCTGACAAACATTCCAACAGATCTCTAGCGTATGCTCGGATATCCTGATAAACTTGGAAACGTTCTCTGATCCGTGGTTCTTCCATCTCAAGCTTGCTAATCATTTCCTTATTTTCTTGAATTTGAGCAGTTGTCCTTTCAAATTCCGCTTCACGAGCATTTACTGATTCCTTGCCATCTATCTTGCTGCAATATTCTAGTCTTAGGCGTTATCGAAAATATCACTAGTAAGATCTACCAGTAAGGACTTGAAAATGATTTGAATTTAAAACGTAATGAATATACATACCGCTGTTGTAATTTTGAAAGAATTTCTTTTAACGATACAGCTATTGTTTTGCCAGATATTCGTCCAGCTGAAACAGAACTAGTCGAAATAAGTTAAAAAACTTTCAATTTTGTTTTAGTTCAGTTAAAAAAGAAAAAAATGTCTGATTCTAAAAGGCAACGTAAAGAATCAAAAAGCACCCAATAAGAATTAAATATTGTTCCACTAAATAAAACGATAGAATAAATGCTACAGAAACAGTCAAACATGATATATACCAACTCTGTGATAGTGAAAGCATATCAGATTCAGAAAAATCTATATCCATTTCCATCGGCAACTGTTCGCGATTTTCGGGTGGCAATTCCATACTACTTCTTATGGCTCTCATCACTGCTTCCATTTTTGCACGTTCACGTTCCAACATTTCCACCTTTAATTTTATATAGATGATAAAATTTCTGATTCATGTTTGTGACAACTTTAGTAGCTTTCTATCTCAGAAGTAGGGCATGCATATTACCTTATGTGATGATACTCCTTTCTTCATCTGTTCTCTTTCCCAACGCGTTACTTCCTCATCCGATTGCTCATGACCATCGTCACTACCTACAAAATAATATTTAAACTAATAAAAAAAACCAAAAAATAATGGAAACGATGAATAAAAAATGAAGCCAATGTCATTGGAATAAATCCATTTGATCAAAATCGATATCACCCAAAAAAAAAAAAAAAAAAAAAAACACTTTAAACTACTACCTCCTCCTTCGTGAGCAAGAAAATCCATATGCTCATTCCGTCGTCTTTCATCATCATCAGCTACCAAACTTTTTAGCGAATAAAACCTGAAAAGAGTAAACTAATGATTCAATTCCATGATTTCAGAGAGCTTTTTTTTTTGGTTTAAATGGGTTGATAAAAATCAAGAAGTCTCGTTAGTGCCTTCCTATCCGAATAAAATATGATTTCGTTCGATCTTCTTGCATTCCTCTAAAAATGGAAATAGCTTACCGATAATAATGGCTGCTCCAACAACAATGATAGGATTGTTTTTACATGAATCTTTAAAGGAATAACTGACCTTCCACCTTCTGGATCTTCATCACTCAAATCGTTTTCATCTTCACGTATTAACCGTGATCGTGCTACGGATTTATCCTATCAATTTTTTTATTAGTTAAATATATATACTTAGCAACATTATAAATAAAATCACTGAGACAATACAATATTGCATTTCTCATATATTGATGGTCACTCAGTAGTAACTCAATGCGTTATAATTATGAAAGCAATCTTAAATTAACTAAAACCACGACACCATGGCTTACTTGGATATGCCTCCTCATTAATATAGACTATGTAATAAATTCTGCAAAGGTAAAAAATTCTATTACAATTACCTTCAACCGCTGCACGTCATCCAGTGGGATCTGGCCATTAGAACTGACTAAACGCATCTTTTCTCGCTTCTTTCGTGCTTCATAAACAGTTTTCGCATCCGGAATCTCTCCTTAAAAATTGTAATTAGAACAGTAACAACTGAGTTAAGATTGAGAAATAAGCTAAAACGACAGAACTTCGAACCTCGAAACGCAGATGGGAATTTACTTCGTATGATCGAATCCTGCTCCAAATCTGTTTCCTCTTGTACGGGTTCATCCTTCACTTTCCACTGTTTGCTTTGAGAAGTCTGACATGAAAAAATTTTTAGATTTGAACATATGAAAGTTACCTGAACATTCCCAAAATTATAGCAATCAAGTTAAATATTTGCAAAAAAGTGCAATCTAAAAAAAAAAACACACATTAATATTCTTGATTGACGGTTCATTCGTCTTCACCTCTTGTTTAATTTGCTTTACAACCACGCTACTTTCTTGTTCTACAGCTTCATTGTCAGCTTTCTGTCGCAATTTCGCTCTTTTCGTCAACTTATCCAAACGTTTATTAGGATCTTTACGTTTGATTTTAAAATCTGTTATGTCATCGCCTGAAAGAACAGCACTAAAGTGAAAAGTAAGAAATCAATATTCTTAAGACAGTAAAGCAATTGACTTTTGTGGCTATTATACATGAAAAATCCTGCCAACATAAAATACCTCCTGTATTCGATGAAACGATAAGCTCCAGGTAGGTCACTCAAAGGAAATTTTTATCTATAGTTGATTCTTAGACTCATATTGTCTGAAGTCTAGAAATCCAGTTTTTAGAGAGCCTACTTCCAGTCATATTAATAGTTGACCATTCCAGGTAAGGCGAAGTATAATGTTGGAAATGTAACACGCCACCGATAAACAACGAATTTCATTCGTTTTTCTTTCTTTTTTGGTTGCAGCTTCGTTGAAAATCTACCGACCTTCAAAATTATCAAAACTGAGCAAGTGGTGCTCTTCTGTTACCACACCAGCGTGTGGTTTCTGGTTCCCTTCTGCTTTATTCACCTTTTCCGCATGTTGCTGTTGCTGTTGCTGTTGCTCGACCGTTCTACTAATTAATGACTCTTTGATTGTTGATGCTACTGCTGTTCCAGAAGTAACACCACCATCTCCATCATCACCACTATCATTATTATCATCGTCTGATAGTAGTCGCTGACGAAGATTGCTACGCGTTTTCACTTTTCGAAACATTTTTCTAAGTATGAAAAGTACAGCTTAGATGAAAAAATGATTCAAACTGAAATTGTCATAAATTCATCTCAGTTGAGTTTATAACATAATAGAACAAACTTTTCTTGAAATGTAAAATTAGTAAAGAGAAAATAAAGCATCTGAACAACTCCGAAATGGCTTCACAATGTGGCGTCCAATACATTTAAAAATTAATTTAACCATAATCTAATCGCAACTTCCCAATGGAATATTTCGGGTTTCAGTAGGGATTATTGTCTTGTGAGAAGTGTGAAAAAATTTGTTAAATTAGTGTTTTCATAGTTCCTACAAAGGGAAGTGCAAAAATGCAGCTCTGTTGAAGTGGAAGGAAAATGAGACATAATAACAAAGGTTGAGAGAATATCTAAACATTAGTAGTAAATTAATGTGCTATCGATTAAAATAAGAACAAACATAACAGACATATCATTAACACGGCACGCAAATTAAGCATCAAGGAAAAACAAATCCATGAATCCGAAGGTAACTGAATCCCAGCTGTCAGTCATGATATCGGAATTAACGCGGTAGGATGTGAAACTTACGATCTCGAGATAAATTGTATTTGTTATAATGTGATATTAGTAATTGTGATATGTATGCATTTAAGCTAATTATTTAATTTATTTTTTGAATTTGAATTGATTTACTTAACTTCGAACTAAACTTGGACTTTGAGATTAGCCCATTAAATCTATTAAAAGATTAGTTATCAAAAATATTAGTTTTGAGATTAGCTACTAAGAATGGAAGAAAGATTTGAAAATATAATGCAATTTGTGATTTGTGTGTGTATGATTGAATAAATATTTCTCTAAGGATTGTTTTATAAAAATACCTGAGAGCTAATAATGTGAAAAAAACAAAAAAATTTTTTTCCTTTCTTATCTAGCTGTAATTTATTTGTACTAAAGAATGAAGTTGACATTTTAAATCATTGTTAATTAGTTTCCTTCAAATATTCAACATTTGAATAAATTATGCATTTGTTCAGGAAGCAATCATTACACAATCATTGTAAAATGATCGATTAGTGTCAAATTGTGAAAAATTGTATTCAGAAAAACTAAAATTACATAAAATTATTTGATGGATAATTATTCATCATTACACTTTATTTAATCTTTGATATATTTCAATTTTTGGTGTCATTCATGAGATGTCATTTTGGTTTATATCAGAAATATTAGCAAAAAAAAAAATAACAATTAGCAATTTTTTGATTTGGAAAGGAAATAAAAAATTAAAAGTAAATTTGAACTGTGCTAAATGTGTTAATACTAGAATTAACTTGAGATTTCATTGAAATACAGTACTCTGTAAATGATCAATAACTCATTCTTGAAGATTACTGTATTTCAACTATTTAACCAATAGCTGTGGAGAAATATAGTAAATAACTATTTTGTAATATTATTTATATATATCGTAATAATAACAAAGTAAAAGAACTAAAAAAAAAAGAGTTAATCATTAGCCAAAGTAGAGCTAAGACATTACAATTAAAATTGATTAAAGCATATGAAAATGTGGGAATTTTAAAGAGAAATAAATTGATGTCCATTACTTCGTCATGATATTACCAACAAAATAGAAAATATTTAAATACAAAAAAGTAAGTTAGAATTTTGTACGATTTGTCATCTCAATTTTTTTTTTTTTTTGTTTATTTTTTATGTATCTATTGTTAGATTGTTTATTGTTGACAATAGTATCTATTGTTAGATTGTTTATTGTTGACAGTATCTATTGTTAGATTGTTTATTGTTGACAATAGTATCTATTGTTAGATTGTTTATTGTTGACAATAGTATCTATTGTTAGATTGTTTATTGTTGACAATAGTATCTATTGTTAGATTGTTTATTGTTGACAATAGTATCTATTGTTAGATTGTTTATTGTTGACAGTATCTATTGTTAGATTGTTTATTGTTGACAGTATCTATCGTTAGATTGTTTATTGTTGACAATAATACATTTGTAATGACAGAATTATGCTGTTTTCTTCGTCATCGATATGTATTAATTCATTCTAAGAATAAAATGATTGCATAGAATTTAACAACAAAAAAAATAGCTTCTCTTTAACACTGAAAATCAATACTCGAAAAAAAAAATGAAAATTCATCATTATTTTATGTTTCTCATCATCATTTTAAGTTCATCATTATTACTAATAATACGTTATTTTATGCTAAAATTATCAAAATTATTAATATCATTGAAATAATTTTCTTCTTTTAAACTTTTTCAAAAAATTAAAATTAGCATTAAGTAAGTAATATTTACTGATGCTATAACAAAAACAATGGTGAAAATTTTATTGCTACCATATAATGTCCCTTTAATTTCAGATAAAAAAGATAATTGAAATAGTTTTAGCATTTGTGATAGCCACAATGAAAAAGCTTTATTGTCAATAGTATATTACTACCTGCTGCTTATTTGATTAACAAATGTAATAATTGGCAATGCCATAGCAACGAAAAGTAAGCATTAGCAGTGGTAGCAGCTATATTAGCACTAGTAGATAAGGGTAGATACTTTGTGTGGTAATAAATTACTGAGTACATCACATTATAGCATCAATTTCCTATTTTTCCAATAAAGTTTCTTCTTTTTATTGAAAAAAAAAGGAAAATCAATTAATAATTTTTAAACATTTATAATTTTCTACAATTGCAATTGCTTCAATAACTTCAAATATGCCACGAAGAGGAAAAATGGTCGGTTTTTTTTTTTTTTTTTTTTTTAAATTATTACTACTACTACTAACATATTATTATTAGCATTCAAGTATTAAATGAATTTAAGTGAAATTACAATGCCATTGATAAAATCAATTTTGCAAATGAATTAATTGTATTGTTGAAAATAAAAATGAGATTGCATAGGTTATTTTGTTCAAAATTGATAATTATTATTGATAGATTTTTATATATTAGAGTATCATTTCATAGTTACTCTAATTAACCTTACATTTTACTTTATTTATTGGTCATTGTACAATGAAATGAAATATTGATTGAAATATACACACCTCAAATGATTATTAAATTTTCTCTTTTTATTACTTGAAATGAAAATGAATATGTTATGATATGAAAATGAAGATTAAAATGATAATACTTCCATCATATCATTAATGCATCATTTCGTTTCACTTTTCCACAATTATCAATTTTACGAGAAATCAAATTATCATATTTTTTCTTTGTTATTTAATTTCTTGCATATATAATTTTTTTGTTTCTATTAACAAACAGTATGAGTGATATATATAGAAATAACAAAATTTGTGTTTTATAAAATTTATTTTAAAAATATTTTTTTTCTCAAAAATGCAATTATTCAAAATGTTTTATATATTTTTTTAATTAATTTAAAAAATTCTTTTGAGAAATTTAAACAAAATTACAGCGTGAAGTGATAAGTTTACATGTTGGACAAGCTGGTGTACAAATTGGTAATGCATGTTGGGAATTATATTGTTTGGAACATGGTGTTCAACCGGATGGAATGTTACCATCTGATGAAAGTTTTGGTATTGAAGATAGTTCCTATAATACATTCTTCAGTGAAACACAAGCTGGTAATTTTAATCAGAATTTGAAGAATTTATTTTTTAAATATTCATTTATTCTAATATTTTACAAGACAAATTACAATACCATTGATAAAATCAATTTTGCAAATAAATTAATTGTATTGTTGAAAAATAAAAATGAGATTGCATATGTTATTTGTGTTCAAAAATTGATAAATTTATTATTTTATGATGATTATAAGTTTGTTTTAATTTTATTATTATTTTTTTTTTTAACAGGTAAACATGTTCCACGAGCAATATTCATTGATCTAGAACCTACTGTTGTTGGTAAATTCATTATTTATTTTTCAAGTAGTTTTCGATTAATTTAATTTTTTGAAACTTTCAGTGGTAAAAAAAGTGATACACTTTTAGTACTAATTCTTATTAAAAGTAATTATAGTTTTATTATTATTTTTCAAGAAAATTTTAACAGATGAAGTACGCACTGGAACTTATAAAACACTTTTTCATCCGGAACAGCTCATTTCCGGTAAAGAGGATGCAGCAAATAATTATGCTCGTGGACATTATACTATCGGCAAGGAATTAATTGATGTTTGCATGGATCGAATTCGAAGTACTCATTGAAACTTTTTTTTTTTAACATTTAATTAATATTTGACTGAATTAGTAAACTTAACTAATTAATTATTAATTGTTAATATAGGAGATTATCAGAAGATTTAAAATCTATGTTTTCCGTTCATCAATTAATCAATTCAATTCATAATAAGCAATGTACTGGCTACTTTTATGCACTATTGCTATACTTGAGAATTTTATTATGATTTTGATTTAAGAAATTTATTTAAATTTAAAAAGTTTAAAATCTTATTTAATTTTTCTTTTTTTTTTTTTTTACAGAACTAACAGAACGATGTGATGGCTTACAAGGATTTCTGATATTTCATTCATTTGGTGGTGGTACAGGTAGTGGATTTACATCATTAATGATGGAACGATTATCTGTTGATTATGGTAAAAAAGCAAAGCTTGAATTTAGCATCTATCCAGCACCACAAATAAGCACAGGTGTTTTTTTTTTTTTAATTATTAAAAAAAATTTAATTTTTATTTATAATTACTTTTGTATCCACATCTTATGCAAATAATGATTAATATAATGAAATTTTTGCAATGTGATAATAATATGTGATAAAACTAATAAAATAAAGTCAAATCAAGCCAAAAAAAAAAAAATTGAAATAAAAGATTTGAAGAGATTAAAAATAAAGTCAAAATAAAAGATTAGTAAAAAAAAAATAATAAAAATTGCATAAACATTTTTTTTTTTTTAAGCAATGGTTGAGCCTTACAATTCAATTTTAACCACACATACTACTTTGGAACATTCGGATTGCTCTTTTTTGGTTGATAATGAAGCT